AGGAGGAGGCACACGCCCGATAGGGCTCTTGTGCTTCTGGGCACGCATTTGGAGCAGATGCAGGAGGCAGTATGTCAAGAGTTGGGAAATGTCTGTGGATGCGAAGTTTTTCTGGGGAAAAGACGCCACGACCAGTTGCGACAAGGCGGCGTACGTGCACAACATGCTGGCCTGCCACGCCAGAAGGAAGAGGCTGTCGGCCATAACTGTGTTCTATGACATCCGCAAGTTCTACGAGAATGTAAGTCATCAGCAGCTGCGAGAAGCAGCAGAGCACTACAACTTCGACGGCGCCTTGCTGAAGGCGCTCTGCTGCCTGTATCGAGCACCACGCCGAGCGCGCTGGACAGGGGGCACGAGCAGGGTCAGTCATCCGAATGGCACTATCGTGGCTGGCTGCAGTGCGGCAACAGGAGTGGCCAAGCTGATGACCCTGTGCCTCCTCAAGCGCCTGGCTGTGGAGACGCCTCCGTGTCGTGCGCTGAATGTGGTCGATGATTTGACGACGCATACCATCGGAGGTCCCAGGACGGTTGTTGAAAATACGGTCAAGAGTTTCGAGATTGTCACATCGGAGCTGGACTCAAGGAAGTTGCCTATTAATTGGGACAAGACGAGATTCATGATGTCCGACCGCTCTCAGCTGTCTGCTTTGATACAGGATCCCAGGTGGAGTCTTTCGGACGACAAGCTGGTCATCGCCCACCGCGACCTCGGCGGCGACTCGCTGGACGGCAGGGCGAGGAGGGTCGGCACGCAGACTTCGAGATGTGAGGCCGCCAGCAGCACGGCACGTGCCCTACGTCAGCTGGGGCAGAGTGAAAAGCATAGTAGAGTGTTTCGTGTGGGAGCGCTGGCTAAAGCGTCTTGGGGATCCCACATTTTGGGGATCCCGCCGACCACCCTCCATAAGCTTAGGGTCCAAGCTGCGAGATCCTGGGGCCCGCTTCTTCCTGGCACCTCCCTGGGCTTCAGGTTTCTTTCGGCCGCTCGCCTCTGGCTCAGAGACCCGCTTTTGGTGACGGTGACGTCGGCTGCAAAGGAATTCGTCAGCGTGTGGTGGGCCCGCTCGATTTCCAAACCTGTGTTGGAAGCTTGTGTCCAGGACGCCCTTGCGGTCCAGGGGAGCAGGGCCCCCTGGGGCCAAGTCCGTCAGCCTGTTGCTGCGCTTTTCTTGCAGCTGGCTCGGATCCGCTGGAGGTTCGATGTGTCTCGAATGGCCCTGGTTGACGACCTCAACCGTGTGTGGTCAATTGATAGGTTTTCGCCCAAGTTTTTCACCCTTCTCCTGCGAGGCTCGGTCGTTCGGGCTATCGAGCGGGAGGAGCAGTTGAAACAGTTCGATTTTGGGATGTGGAGCGGCCCAGTGTTCTGGCAGCCCATTCATCAGCTCCTAGGGCGGAAATGTTCTGAGTCGTGGACCAAGTCGCACAAGGCAGCTCTTTCAGCCCTGTGCGCGAATGTGTACTGGTGCCAGCACAGAGTGTGCGAGCACAGCCCAGAGGCCCCTGACCAATGCCAGCTTTGCAGAGATGGTAGAGGCACGTTGTACCACCGCAGGTTTCAGTGAGTGGCTTTCGCTCCCTGGAGACGCGAGAACCTGGATCCCGTGGTTGGGAAGGCGGCTCGTGCGATCGGCCATCTTCCCACTCCTGCTGGAGAACTTTTTAGCAGATGTCTGTTCCCCAACCCTGCGGCCTGGGTGGAGCGACCCCCCCGCGACCCTCTGAACCCGTGCACCAGGCACTTTCAGTGGCCTCAGGACGGCCCCCTGTTCATTCCCGAGGGGGCCCATGTGTTCACGGACGGGTCAGGCTTTGAAGGGGAGCTCACAGGTCTCGGGACCGCGGGTTGGGCTGTTGTGGTGCTGGACAGGTTAGGAAGGACCCTCGCTGCCCTTTTTGGTGTCGTGCCGATTGGGGAAGCGCCTGGACAGCAGGCACGCGATGGCGAAGATTTTGCTGTACTGATGCTCTCCAGACGCTCGGTCCTCTCCGCGGGTGTTTCGCTCCATGTGGACTGCGCGGCCACGGTCGGCTGCCTCCGAAACCTCGTGGGGGCTGCTGGGGCGGCCTCGGCCCGAGCCCACTGGTGGGCGGAGATTGGGGACCGTTTAGAGGGCTTGGAGGTGCATCAGATCCCGTCTCACTCGTCGACGATCGATGTTAGGGAAGGCCGTATCACTGAAATGCAGCGTTTCGGGAACTCTGAGGCTGACAGACTCGCCAAGGAAGGAGCTGAGCCATTCCGAATTTCATGCGAGGACCGCCAGTTTGTTACTGGCTATGCTGAGTTTGTCCGTCGTGTAGGGCTGTACAGTGCCAGGCAGCAGGCGGAGTGTAGAGAGATGGCCCTGAACGATCATCAAGGGTTGGAATGGCTCGGCTACGTCCTCCTGGACGCGGTCCCTGGCCTCCCCCTTCCTGGTTCGGACCCTGGGGATGGTGAGCCAAGTGCGCAGTGCGGTGTGCCTCAGGGTGTGCCTGGTGAGGGGGAGGTCCCTGGCGAGACTCCTGGTGCGCACTCTGGTGAGGCGCCTCCCGAGAACCCCCCGACCCCAGGAGCATGGCTCCAGCTGGGACACTCCCTCGAGCAGGGGGTGGTTTATGAGTCGGACGGCTGCACGTATCACGACACGATGCTGTGTTGTACGGCGTGCGGTGCAATGGCACACTCCAGCACGAAACGGGGGAATCTGCGTTCGAAGTGTCGTCCTGTCGCGTCGTGGGGACGGGGGTTCTACCTTGACCGATTTCGTGCTGGAAGGTATCCTGCGCATAGGAACCCTAGAGGGCTCACTATGGCGTACACAGGGGCCCCCTCTCCAGAGGTTCGCTCGGAGTGGAGGCCCTACTTTGAGGCCTGGTCCCAGGGCCGCGACCGCCCTCCGAGAGTTGCTCGGGGGGCCCAGCCCTCGCGCCGCGAGGGACCCGCTGCCGACAGTGCGCGAGGCCTTGCCCTGCTCGGGCTGTCGAGGGCGGAGGTCGTGGAGCTCGGGGCCGAGGTCGAGGCCAGGCGCTGGAGAGGTGGTCTCCCCGTGGAGGAGGAGGATCTCTTCGGCTGCCTGGGCCCCTCCTAACTTGTTTGTTTTTCTTTGTTTGCATGCGAATTGGGTCACTCCCTTCGTGGTCGTGGGCGTCCTCCTCCTCCTCCTCCTCCTCCTCCTCCTCCTCCTCCTCCTCCTCCTCCTCCTCCTCCTCCTCCTCCCCCCTATGGCCCACGGGTCGTCCACGAAGAAGGCGTCGGGGGAGAGCGGAGAGACGACAGGCGTGGGGCCCAGGGGGCACTGCCTGGCAGGTCGGGCCCCCTGGAGGCCCCGAAGCAAACGAGGCCGACACCGCACCTTGGGACGCCACGCCTCCTTCTCCGCACGTCGGCTCCTCCTTCGACTGCTCGACGGCGAGGCCCCGTCCGGAGCGCGCCGTCTGGCGTCCTCAGGCCTCGGGATGGCGCAGCACGGCAAGCGGCGATGTGCAGCCTCGTTCCCCCCCATCCCCCGACCGCCCAAAAGTGAGATCCGACGCTGCGAAAACAGCGCGCGCAAAACCTGCAGCAGGGTGACGATTCACGCCCGGGGCCCGACACACCATCGTTCTGCCTCAATGTTCGAGCCGGATCGTTCCGCAGTGGTCCCGAAGCCCGAGACCGGGCGAAAACGCCCTGTGTGAAAAGTTGCAACGCCCAGATTTCCGGGAAGACTGGAGGAAGAGGCCCCAATCAAAGTTCGGCGCTCGATCCTTCCACAGCAGGTGCCACTCCTCCAATCCTGTGTCCACCCCTCCCTCCTTCTCGTGCGCCGAAGGGCTCGCGCTTCGCACACCGAACCTTCGAACTTTCTGATCACCTCCAGGACAAGGACTACTCAATGGTTTCAAAAGCAGGTAAAATACATGGGCCAACGCATCGCAAGCATGTCCTCCATAGCTGATACAAAAAAATACAACCTGCCCCCCCTCCCGCCCTCCTCCCTCTCACTCTCCATCCCACACTCCCGCCCTACCTCCTTCCCTCCCTCACCAAATCTCCGACGCTATGACTTCTTCTATCCGCAGCCCCACCAGTCCCAACCCATTCACTGGGTGTAGTTGTTCGCCCTGGATCAGTTTTTGAAAGCCCCAGGGCCCAAATACGGGCCCCAGGGGCCGCAGGCAAGGAAAAACGCCCAGATTGGAAAAAAAAATCGTCGGAGATCTGGGTCACTCCCCTCCGCCCTCCTTGGGCATTGTTCGTTCTTTGCGTTTCGCGCATTCCGCCGCCCTCTTGTGTCGTTGTTTGGGGCTGCCTGGGAGCACAAGGCCCGCCCTCCACCCCTCATGCACGGGGGGGGTGCGTCACCTACGACGGCGCAGCGACAACGCGAATGCCATGTCCGACGGATCGACCGCCCTCCACCCCTCCTCCCTCACCCTCCCAGAACCCCCCTCTGAGGGGGTGGTCCACAAGGGAAAACCCTCCCGACCCTTCCTCACCCTCCCCCAACAAAAAACCTGGGGGGGAGGGGTCCAGGGGGGAAACTCCCCGACCCCCGTAACCCCCCCCCCAAAAAAAACCTCACCGAAGATTCCAGGGGGAGGCTCCCGAACCCCCCCTAACCACCCCAAGGAACCCCCCCTGAGGGGGGAGGGGGATCCCAAGGGGGGAACACCTCCACTCCCCCGAATCAACCCAAGAACCCCCCACTTCTGGTGGGGGGGGGGGCCAGGGGGAGGGGGATCCGAAGGGGGGATCCGAAGGGGGATCCGAAGGGGGGACCCCCCCCCTAACCAAGGGAGAGGAACCCCCCCCTGAGGGGGGAGGGGGGATTCCCATGCCGGTCACGCACACGTCGTCGGCTGCCGCAGGGGGGAAGGGGATCCAAAGGGGGGAAACACCTCCACCCCCCCGAATCAACCCAAGAACCCCCCTTCTGGTGGGGGGGGGGCAGGGGGGATTCCCATGCCGGCCACGGCCACGTCGTCGGCTGCCGCCCCGCAGAGGCACGCGGGGCGCGGGGGCGGAGCCTCCTCGCGGCGAAGTAGGCGAGGGGCTGCATATCGCCCCCCCCTGGACAAGGGCGGGCAGGGGGGGGGAGAGAGAGAGTGGGAGAGAGAGGAGGAGGAGAGAGGAGGAGGAGGAGGAGAGGAGGAGGAGGAGAGGAGGAGGAGGAGGTGAGGAGGAGAGGAGGAGGAAGGAGGAGGAGGAGGAGGAGGAGGAGGAGGGAGGAGGAGGAGGAGGAGGTGGAGGAGGAGAGGGGAGGAGGAGGAGGAGGAGGAGGTCCGGAAAACGAACACTCTAGCTGCAGAAACCTGGAACCAGGAACCAGGAGGAGGGAGGACGACGACGACGACGAACACTCTAGCGCTGCAGGAACCTGGAACAAGGAGGAGGAGGGAGGAGGAGGAGGAGGAGGAGGAGGAGAAGGAGGAGGAGGAGGAGGAGGGAGGAGGAGGAGGAGGAGGAGGAGGAGGGAGGAGAAGGAGGAGGAGGAGGAGGACGAAGAAGCCGCTGGGAGCGAGGGAGCGAGGGTAACGGTTCCTTCTCCACCTCATCGGCATCTTCCTCATCTTCCTCCTCCATATCATCATCATCATCATCATCATCATCATCATCATCATCATCATCATCATCATCATCATCATCATCATCATCATCATCATCATCATCAACATCATCATCATCATCATCATCATCATCATCATCATCACATCATCATCATCACATCATCATCATCATCATCATCATCAGCATCAATCATCATCATCATCACAGCATCATCATCATCATCATCAGCAGCAGCAGCATCACCATCCATCATCATCATCATCAGCATCATCGTCATCATCATCAGCACTCATCATCAGCATCAGCATCATCATCATTCATCATCATCATCATCATCATCATCATCTCATCTCAATCCACATCTCATCTCATCATCATCATCATCATCCTCATCCTCATCTCATCCTCATCCTCATCCTCATCCTCATCCTCATCCTCATCCTCATCATCATCAGCATCATCATCATCAACATCAACATCATCATCATCAGCATCATCATCAACATCATCATCATCATCAGCAGCAGTAGCTGCATCAGCATCAGCATCATCATCAGCATCGTCATCGTCATCATCATCATCATCATCATCATCATCATCATCATCATCATCCCTCCTCTCTCCTACCTCCTCCTCCTTGTTGCTCGGGCCCCAGCACGTCACACCCAGGTGGCCGCCATCTGATGGGAGGGGGTCTCGTATCAAACGGACTGCAAGGACAACACCAATTCAGATGGCACGAGACCCAACAACACGCGGACGGACGACGCCAGACTGCGCCAGACGAGACATGCGCGCGGCGGACCACACAGAAGACAAACTAAACACGGGTCGCTGCACGGACTGGTGGCCACACTGGAGGCGCTTCGAGCGACTCATCCAGCCCGGGGTGCGCCAGGTTCGCGAAGGGTGACATGAAGCGCACGGAGGATGCGCCACTGCGCTGCGATAGGTCGGGACCGCAGCTCCACAGCCACACCAACAAGTGCAGCAGGGAAAGAGAAACATGGCTGGCCTCTCCCGAACCGAGAGAGTACAGTCAACCCGTGCAGCAAGGATTCGCGATAAGGATGCAAGGGCTTTGGACGCCCAATTCGAAGCTCTTCGAGCGGGGCGCGGCCAACGAACGTGGCGAAGGATGGACCGAGGGGGCAAGGATGCAAGGGTACCCTTGGGAAGGCTGCCCATCCATATTATGCGGGTTGACTACAAAGACTGCTGCACGTCCTGGAGATCGGGCCACGAGGTGGAGGAGGGAGGAGCCTCCTGGGAGCCTCCTGGGGGTCCCCATCGGGCCTCCCGGGGGCCTCTCGGGGGGCCTGTTCGAGCCTCGCGGGGGCCTCTCGGGGGCCTCCTGGGGCCTCCTGGGAGCCTCTACCTCCTCCTCCTTGTCCTCCTCCTCCTCCTCCTCCTCCTCCTCCTCCTCCTCCTCCTCCTCCTCCTCCTCCTCCTCCTCCTCCGGGAGGAGCATCAAGAAGGCTGCGTGGAACGCGGGAACACCTCTGCGACAGACGATGGCTGGAGCGGGGCCTGTGGGCGCAGCCCCCTCCGGCGCAGCTGGGGCGCCCCAGCGGGGCAGGAGGGATCAAAACTGAGCGCGGCAGCTGCGACCGCTGGGGCGCGGAGAGGCCCACCTCCCACGGGCAAGAAGGGAATGGGTAGGGGAAGGAATAGGGAAGAGCAGAGGGGGGGGGAAGGGCAAGGAAATGGGGAGGAGGGGCAGGGGAAGGAGTAGGCAAGGGGAAGGGAAAAGAGAAGGAGAGGAAAGGAGTGGAGAGGAGGAGAGGGAGGGGAGGGGGAGCTGACGTGCTGACATGGCTCGGGGCAGAGCGGGTGGGCGCCGCGGGGGGGGAGCGGGGGAAGGGGGGGGCAGCACGGGGAGTAGTCATCCTGGCGACCTGCACATACGGCAGGTTCGTGTCGTGCCGACCCCAGCGTTGGTTTTTGACACCGCAGGGATCGTTCAACCTTGAACGATCGGCCGCTGCCGCAACGTCCGATCGTTCAGCATCGATCGATTCTGGGTCGCCGGCGGCGTTCAACCTTGAACGCCCGCGCTGGGGTCGCCGCTGGTCGACACGACGCAAACCTACCGTACATGCGGCGCCAAATACTTCGCCCATGGGACAAGACTTCGCTCGAAAGCACGGACCTGACAGCAACGCACATGGCCCCTGGCACAGCACTCTCGAACACGCGATCCCGCATCGGAAGGACAGAGCGCGGGCGCGAGGAAGGCGAGCAGAGAGCGGCAGCCGAGCGGAGGAAGCGCAGGAGCTGACGGAGGGGGAACCCAGACTGCACGGAAGGCGTGCAGGCCGCGGCATCGGATAACGAAGCACGCGACAGGAGCGGGGCGAACCGGATGGATGAAAAGATGGACGGGCGGCAAGAGCGGGTGGAAAACATGAGAACGGGAGGGGGAGAGCCAGATAGAGAAAAAAGAGAGAGAGAAGAAGATACTAAAAAGAAAGGGAGAGGGGAAGCGGCATTGGAAAGGCAAGAACGACGGAGACGAAACGGAGAGAGAAACAGACGGAGAGAGAAGAGAAAGAGAAATAGCGAGACACACATACAGACAGACAGAAAGACAGACAGGCAGTCACACGGACGGACAGACAGACAGACAGACAGGCAGACAGACAGACAGACACACAGACAGACAGACAGACAGGAAGGCAGGCAGGCAGACAGACAGACAGACAGACAGACAGACAGACAGACAGACAGACAGACAGACAGACCGACAGACAGACAGACACACAGACAGACAGACAGACAGGCAGACAGACAGACAGACAGACAGGCAGACAGACACACACACAGACAGACAGACACACACTGTTTGGCGGTCGCGGCCTCGCACAGCGACGAGGCACAGAAAGTCCCCAACGAGAGTGCGCGCGCGCGCGGCTAGCCCATCAGAACAGGGGCTGGGATCCCATTGGAGCAACCCTGCCGTGCGCATGCACGGTCGTGGGCAGCGGGGGCGAAGGGCGTCACGCCCGCTTCGGCACACCCCTCGCGCGCTTCGTGGCCCCATGGGGAGCTCCACCGACGGCCCCAGTGGCGACGCTCGCATGTGGGCGTCACGCCCGTCTCGGCACACCCCTCACACGCTTCGCGGGAGCTCTACCGAAGGCCCCAGCGGCGACGTTCGCACGCGGGCGTCACGTCCGTTTCGGCACACCTCTCACGCGCTTAGTGGCCCCAAAATGAGCTCCACCGATAGCTCCAGAAGCGGCGTTCGCATGTAGACGTCACGCCCGTTTCGGCACAACCCTCACACGTTGCGTGGCCCTGGAGGGAGGTCCACCTTCAGCCTTCTAGTAGCGACGTTCGCAAGTGGACGTTACGCCCGTTTCGGCACACCCCTCACACATTTCGACATTTCGAGGCCCCATAGGGAGCTCAACCTAGCGCCCTAGTACCGACGTCCGCACGCGGCCCTCACACGTTTAGAGAGTTCCACCTAAGGCCCCAGTAGCGACGTTCGCATGTGGGCACCACGCCCGTTGCGGCACACCCCTCACACGATTCGTCGGCCCATACGGAGTTCCAAGGCACCAGTGGCGACGTTCGCGCATGAGCGACACGCGCGCTTCGACGCGCATCTCACGCGCTTCGTGGCCCCTATAAAGAGCTCCACATCAGCCGCGATGGCGACGCTCGCATTTGGGACCTTCGATTCGGGGCGTCAAACCCGTTTCTCGGGTCGGGCGAATGGGGGGGGCGCAAGCCGAGCAACACTGGAACCACCCAGCGTCGAGAGTCGAGCCGAGCTCTGACCGACATCGATTCTGTTCATCCTCCTGCAACATCCATCCTCTTCTTTGTCACCGTCGTCATCGTCGTCGGTCGTCGTCATCGTGATCATCCTTCCTCCTTCACTCCCCGTTCTCCTCGGGGTCATCCTACCCTCGGCCGGCGCAAGGGGCGGCGCCCTAGCTGCCCTCCGCCGCGGCCATGGACGCGGCGGACTGCTGCGGAGAAGCAATCTCCTCCATGACCTCGATGAAACACACGCGGCGCTCAGCATACATATCCTGGCCCATCTCCCTGGGGATGTGGAGGATGGGGAAGGGCGTCACTTGAGCATCCATCCCAATACTGAGTATTGGCATGGACGATCAAATAACGATGAGGGCTGCGAAATGTGTTGCAACCCTGTCCTCGTGAGCACCTCCACGTTGTAGTTCAGGGCCGCCTCCAGAACATTCTTTGGGGCAATCTTCATGGCGTCAACGTTCCAGTAGGGCTGCATCCAGATCCCCGCAAACTCTGTAGGTTCCACCTTCTTGGCCTTCTCCACCTTCACGTGGAATGGCATGAACAACCATACCCATGGAACGTAGACGCACTGCTTGGGCTTCAGCTTCTGGACGATCCCAGCATCTCTCACCAGCTTCGCCGCCTCTGCCGTCTCCATGAACGCAGTCAGGTCGCCGAGAGACACCCCCGCGGCGAGGATATTGTCGATCGGGAGCGCCA